CTCTGCCATAATATGTGTGCCAATATCCTTCATGGTTTGCATGAGATTTGAAAATGTGAGTGAGGCTGACGAGAAGCATCCAGCTGCCACCTTATGCCCTAATGCCAGCGCAGTCTGACTGCTCAGACGTGCAGATCGTGTGGTAGCCTGGAGCCCAGAGAACACTGTAAAAATCAAATGTTTTCATATGTAATTTGTGGGATGCGACTATAAACACAGTGTACGGGCTTCGTCTGCTCGGACAGCTTGGTGTGATTCTTTCAGCATGTCAGGAGGTCTCAGCCTGTGTAGCACACTGTGCCTGTTTTTAATTCAGACACGTTTGCTTAAAAACAAATCTTTCCCAACTTTGAGTCCTACACTTGGAATGTGACACCATGATGAAGTCTGTCTTTAGTTTGTTTAGAGGTTAAAGAGAGAGGCTCCCACTAGAGGGATGTTTATTTCAGAGTAACCAGCCAAGAGGGGAAGTCGCCCACTGACGGCAAAAATATGTGTTACAGTTAGGAAACTTCTGCTCAGTGCAACTCATTAAATCCCAGCACGCTGAGTATTTTCTTTTAGTTATAATCTGCAACTTTCCAGATGGCATGTTCAACTTTTCACTCCACCACAAATTTTTGGTAGTTTAAGGTCAGGGTAAGAAAGAAATCACAGTCCCACCTAAACTGCTGCAACAGTGTAATGCTACATACTTATTAATGCATTAATTCAATTAATAATGCGTCTAATAACATTAACAAAAGCCATCTAGTTACATTCTTTCACTTTCTTGTAGGTGCCCCGTGCTGCAAATATGTCTGTGCTATTGTTTCAGTCCCTGCAGAGGCGTTCTGAACCTTTACATGAGCAAAACCAGCAATTCAGAGATTTCTTTTTAAAGCTGAAGATAAAAATGCTCAATTCTTATGTAAGCAAGCTTAACAATGCTTGCAATGCAATAATGCAAGTATTCAAGTAACAGTAATCATCACATAAAATAGCAAATGTAACCGATTATTACATCCATCGTTTTTAAGCAAGAAAAAAACAAACTGAAAATATTGACAAAATGTGGCAATGAAGTAGATGCAGAATAAACGAGCCGTGTTCCTGTACACACCTGTTCACCTGCACGCAAACACAAATATCTCATCAGCTGATCACAGCGACGCAGGTCTGTGCATTTAGGCACGGTTAAGATGGCACGCTGAAGTTCAAACAAGCATCAGGATGAGGACGTATTTCAGAAGCTGATGGAAAATAGGAAGAAAAGAGTAACTCAGCACTTGTTACAACAAAGGTGTGCAGACGTCCAGATGTTAAACCCTGAAGCAGATGAGTTCAGCAGCAGAGACCAAACTCAGTGTTACTCCTGTCACGTAACTTTCCACAGTTTATTCAGAAGCATGCGTTATATTTCACAAAACGAGAAACTGGGTTATGTGTAAAATGTGAATTACAAAGAATTTTATAACTGTAATTTGATCTCTGTGTAAACAGCTGTCAGTAAAGTGCACTGGATGTTACAACACGGGGGGAGAGAGTTTATTTTCCATAGGTAATAAACTTTGTTGTCATTTGATTCAGAGCAGGTGTGTGATTCCAACACAAAGGTCAGAGTTACTCAATACATTACCCAACTTTAGAATCTTAATATATCTAACAAAGCTTATCGTGAGTTAAAGGATCATTTTCACCCTAAAACAAAGAAAAAAGTCATTTTCAGAGCCTTCAAAGTTTCATTTGAGATACATTTCAGGTCACGTGTTAGCAAACAGACAGTGTTCAGGTATTAAACACACAGCACCTCGTGCACGTTTGGAACCATGGGATCCACACATTCAGCAACACAGTCGTGTTATTATTGTTTTGGGTGGGGGCAGCTATAGATTAGAATCACGTGTGACCTCATGCTGCTGATGGATGCGTTGCAGTCACATGATCCAATCATGCTGTGGAGCAATGAAGTCAGGTGGGTGCAGGAAAATGTCTAGACCGGATTTGTTTGCACTATAAAGCAGCTCGGGATAACGTTGCCACTGGGCCACACTGGCCCTGTTTATCTGTGGGGAATCGTGCACGGGTTCACGTGTGTGACTACACCTACAGCACCTACAGCGCAGCGTCAATTTGTAAATAAAGGCGCGTTTTCTTTGATTTGCGGTTGTCTCGAGTGCATGCTTCCACAGCCGTCACACATACTGCTGTCATATTTAGCCACCGGGAGTCAAGGTCAGTGTGGTTCAGACCACGACCACCTGTGAGAGCGTCACAATTATTTTGTCAGTCAATTTCCACACGCCACTCACATGATGGGTTACATGTACCTGCAGCTGAAGTCATGACGAGCAGTTGGCAGTTGGGGAAAGAATTATTACTGTAAATGGTGACAGAAGAAGGTGGATCTATTTGAGTCACTGCAGATTTTTTGCTTTTAAATCTGAGTGCAGGCCTGCATGAGGGCAGAATATAAGGGTGTTATTTCTGGATATGCCACACTACAAACCCAGAGGAGCACTTGTGATAAAACCCAGGCTGTAAGTATCACTGGGCTGCTTTCCAGTTTGTAAAAGAGGACACTTAAAATACAGTCACCTGTCTGACCTGTGCTATATTTAGCTGCAGTATAAGCTGAAGTTCCCACCACATTCTGTGTCTGGAGAAAGTATTTCCTTGGGGGAAATGGGAAATTATTTTGCCCTATTTATAAATATGAAAGCGTATGTGATGTCAGCACGTGTCCTGGGCCTCATGCGCTGTAAATCTCGCGCTAATAGTCTCGATCTTGTGGCTAGTCCGTGACCCACTCAGGCATCTTCATGAGCTATTTCAGAGGTGCAGTGTTGTGCAAACATGCAGGAGGGCAGATATACGGGTCTGAAAGGGCATTTCCTGTTTAGAAATTAGATGCAGGCAAAAATGGCTCACCTTGGTTTGTGTACTGTAATTAAGGTTTCCAAAAATGACTGTGAGCTGCTGAGTTTTCCCACTACTGTTGTGGGTCTAGCTGGGAATGAGCTACACAAAATCCAGCATTTACTCAGTGACAAAACAAAGAGCTGGTTATCCGTGTTGAGGCTATGATCCCAAAAACTTCAACAACTCCTTCAGAGAGGTTGTGCACTGCCTGCTACACCGAGTCACCAAAGAATTATAGCTATGCAAACAGATAAATTCAGCTACCACTTGCTTCCCCTTCAGCTATCTGAACAACCTCAGCTACCAAAGTGGCATGTCCCATATTTACAGTTGCGTTTACATGCACTCATCACGAGTTTGAGCCTTTAATGACTTCTTTGAACTGTTCTTTTTCCAGAGTGGAATGATGCTACAGCATACATCTTTAATCATGTTAAAAACAGGAACTGGGTGCACAACTTTGACTTTCATTGTCAAAAGCATGCATACACCCCACTAATATTTGGTTAAATCCCTCTTAGCAAGTTTCACCTCAACCCCTTTTGATAGCCATAAAGAAAAGTTGCCATCAAACAACCAAATTCCTTCATCTCAGGGTGACAGTTTGGGTTTTCCTTGGCAAAGTAGTGACGCGTGTGAAGGACTCCTGCTTCTTCTTGGAGTCTGCAGTTGTTTAAAAATGACTCAGAGAGACTTTCCCAACTTGTGTCCAATTCTCCTTCTTAGACAGTCACTGGCGAATGCTGTGAAACGAATCCTTATGCTGATAAAGAGAAACCACCAGCTGTATCCAATCATGATCACTAGCAAGAATTTAATGGGCTCTGACCTCGTCAGGTTAAAAGCCATTTTTAGAACCTTCAGCTCAACTTATTAAAAGATTTGCATGCATGTATAAAAACAACACTATGCCAGTGGTCATGCGTGATGGTAGCAGCATGCTCTGGGTGCTCCCAGACAGTACAACCTCCAAAGTCTTCAATGTCATCTCAAATCAACTGATTATTGATTATAGATTATTAAAACTCAAATCAAAACTGATTTTGGAACGGATAAAGCAGGCTGACATTAACTTCTGTAACGGCCTTCTGAAAGCCTGCCACAAAGAATGGTCCAGTATCCAGAAGAGAATATGCCAGAAGCTTGTCGATCATCTAGTCAAGTTGTAATCCATTAATATTAGTGGGGCTGTAAGTGTATATTTAAACCTGCATGGAAAAGCACAATATGAAATCAAAATAGACCAAATTCTTGTTTTTAAGTCATTAAAGCTGTACGATCATTTCACCCTGGGGAAAAGTTCAAAGAAACCATTAAAAGGCCATCAAGCCATTTATGGAAACTGACCACATCTGTACTCAGAGCAGCGGTGTCCAAACCCAGGCCTCAAGGGTCCTACAGGTTTTAAATGTCCTTGATCCAACACAGCTGATTGAAATGGCTAAATGACCTCCTCAACATGTCTTGAAGTTCTCCAGAGGCCTGGTAATGAACTCATGAGTCAGGTGTGTTGACCCAGGGTGAGATCTAATACCTGCAGGGAACCAGCCCTCGTGGCCTGGAGTTGGCCGCACCTGCTGTAACGGGCTGGATGATAGTAGAAACCCTTCACATAATGCAATCTGTATAACTGAGAAAATTAGTTTTATAAAAATGTTAAAATTCAAATTAAATTACAAACTGGGTGCTGAGCAACAAACATCCACCACGACCATAGCTACATCCATGTTTCCTGTTCACATTTATTTTTAAAAAGCCCTCAAATCCTTATAAATTTACATTATATACTTAATCTCTTCTAAATAAGGCGTCACTGAGCTGCTTCTTTAAACACAGAAAGATTCATTTTCATCCTCCTTACATAATGCTACACAACACGCAAGCCTGCTGATTTTAGAACGGCCCGGCACACGGTCATCAGTTCCACACTGCAGGCCTGCTTTAATAGACCCTGGCAGGCTTCTTAAGAGCTCAGTGCAGTCACAGCTGTAGGATTTAAGATTAAAGGCAACAAGCAGCATTGATAACATTCAGTATGTGATCCAACACCAACGTCATCTGCAGACGTTTTATGTCACGGTGACAGAAACAACAACACGTTTGTTCCCTTCAACAGCAAATAATGCTTTTATTGACAGGTGAATGTGGCTGGCACATAAATGGTCCAATACAAGCTGTTTAATGCAATGGTAACGAGCAGTTCAACAATCACCTTCACAGAAATAACTGAAACATTGATCATCAGAAAAATGATAAAAAGACAACGATAAGTTAACATTCATTCATCCATTTACAAAAAAATGAATATTACAAAAAAACCTTCATAAAAAAATAAAATAAAAATAAAAAAAATCACTGGGTCTATTTACAGATTGTGTACAGGTGTGGAGACGAGTCCTCCTGCTGCAAGACACAGAAAACAAAACTGTTAAACAAGTCTGCATACGCCACACTTAATGTTTTCATCAACATTTGTACAGGTTGTACGATGCATCTACTTCTTCAAAATCTGAATGTTTTAGCTGTACAAACAACTGAACTGTTCCCAGTAGGAGACAAATGTCTAAACTTGTGTACGGTTTATGACATTAGTGACACAGTGGCACACTCCCTCCACCTCCTTACCTATAAACGATTGAGCAGGTTGTTCTGAATGTCTTCATACACCTGGCTGTAGATTTCCTGTTTGGATTTCAAGCCATCGAGGTACACTGCAAAGAAAATGATTTAGTCATACGTTTAATGCTTTTACTCCCAACATACATGGACGGCAAAGATGTCCTCACATAATCCAGCTGCTACATACCGATATTCAAGCCACTGTCCTCCATCTGTTTCCTGTGTTTCAGGTACATGGGCCACACGTGGCCATCGAACAGGCCGGGAGGGTCAGGGACGGTGTACTGTCTCGTACTGAAAGTGACAAAAATACAGTGAGAACTTCCACTTGAAAAGAGGAAACACAGTATAAGTGAAATCTTTCATTGTTCACCTTCTTCTCCTCTTGCACTCCTCGTAGGGTATCGAGATGTAGTAGCACTTGTCGAAGACGTCCAGCAGGGGCCTAGAAGGCAGAAAGAAAAGTGACGCAATGATGTACAACATCTTCAGAGTCAAAGGAGTTCAGTTATGCAACTGTTCAGATGGCGCCTTATCTACACCTCTGACAGTCATCACTAGCGCACTGAACACGCAGCAGCAGCGTCAGAGTTGCACCTCGACAGCATCTTTCTGCTGAAGGCCTTATCTCTAACTGCAGGACCTGCCTGAGCTGGCCACGTGGGCGTCACTGAACACGACTGAGTGGTAAGCACGCTACACCAACACGTGACACGGCAGAAATCATACCGCCTAATGTGTGTCACCATCATATATATTTTTTTTTTTATGAAACCAGATAAATCAGTGGTTTGTAGATAATTAACTGACTGACTTCAAACAAATGTGCTCACAGTGTGAACAATACTTCATTTATTAAAAGATATGAAAGTCTGCTTTAAACCTACAGGTAGTTGTAGAGCAGGAAGCCCTCCACAATCAGGATGTGGATCTGCTCGTCGGTGTTGGCCAAATCGGAGGAAGAAGACAAAGGGACACCGTGAGATCTGGCAAACTTCACCGGGTTCTCAATCCAGGCGTTTATCGTGTTGGTCATGGCCTCCATATCCAACGCCGTGATAACTATAAAGAAAGATTAAGAGGCAAGAAAAAAAAAAAAAAAATGATGGAAAGAAGAGAGAAAAAGGTTAGAACAAACCCAAGCAAACAATGTAATTTATTGGATGTGTGTTTGTTGTTTGCGAGCTACTGAAGGCTACAATAAACTTTTGATGTGCATGATTACGGTTGTGTGCAATTATGGATTGTGGAGGTAAACTATGTTAAAATGGGCAGCTATGTGGATATAAGATTAATGAGTCACTGGCAGTCTTCGGGTGAAGTCTTACCATCCCACTGTTTAAAGCCGTCCTCCCCGACTTCTATCTGATCGGGTTTCTGAAATAACAGTGACCAATAAAACACTGCTGCAACCTCACAGCTCTGAACACTTGCAGATCCCACTCACATGCCAGAGTTATTAAGGCCAAACAAGTGAGTACAGAGGGTACACAGCAAGGGGCATGCACAAAACAAAGCAAGCCGTTCACACAAGTATGCAGCTGTGACTAAACTGGGGGGCAAAACACATCATCTAATGTAGTAGTGCTTATAAAGAGGGAAATAAGAAAAGACTCAATAACAAGAGAAGTTGATGTTAACAGCTATCTTAAGAAAAAGTAGATGAGGAGTATAAATGGAGAAATTCAAGGATGTGGGGAAGGGAAAACAACACCGAAGCAGTGAGGCGAGACAACAAGGGAAAGACACAACTCTGGATCTAATCTGGAGAACAAAAAGTGGGGGGATGGGGTGGGGTACCACTCAGGGAAGCCCTCCTATTTTGTTGAAATGCAAATATCACGCAGTGTCCAAAGAGGAGAAAGCAGCATGGGGGAAAAAAAAAAACCAAGAAAACAAACAAAAACAAAAAACCGAAAACAATCCACTAGCTTACACTCACCTTGAAAAAGTCATCTTGATGCACGACACAGCAGTTGGGCAAAGTCTTGATCAAGTTATTTGTCAGAGTGGTTTTACCACCATTAGTCACCCTGTAAACAGAAAGGCACAGGGTGATAAAAATACCCGCTATCACCACAGCAAAATTAATGACCTTCCGTTAGCTTTATGGCAGCGAGTATTTATGTATTATATTGAGCTTTGTTAATATTCAACATAGTAAATTTGTGTACATTATTAAAAGGAAGCAAATGAAAACACAAAAACTCGGGGAGCAAGTTAAGTTTAAATGTGTTACATTTAAATATGTTGCATAATAATAATAATAATAATAATAATAATAATAATAATAATAATAATAATAAGTGTTATGGCAACACTAAACTCAGATCTCCCTCCACTTTTGAGCCGACCTCGCGGTGAATTTTCAAAAGTCCCGCTCGATTTATAACAACAAACCGACCGGACCGGATGTGACTTTGAACAGGTTTGTGGCGGGCAGCTGATAAACACTCGGCCAAAAATGATAACATCTATGAATCTGAGACAAACAATCACCATTACAAAAAACAAAAACCCTGAAGCACCAGTTTGGCAAAAACAAACCTGCACCAGCAATAACGTGAACTGCACCACACAGTGCAGTCAGAGCATCGCCGCAGCGTGACCCTGCTCCACTGTCACTGAGTTTAGTCGACTTACATCAGCCATTTTTCACGTTAACGGATAAAAGGAAACGTTAAAACCGTTGACTTGGTAGTTAAATAAATGCGATAAGCTAGCCAAACTTACCCGCCAATTCCTATAATGCACTTCATCGTCTCGCTTCTTCCGGACAGGTCTCGTTCAAACAGTCACGAACAACTTTCACCAAGAACGAAAATCCCAAATTTTAAAAATAAGAATTTTAAACGATCCAAAAATACTTCCGGAAACCTTCCGTTTCGCTCTCAGCGTGTTTCTCCGTAGTACTGCGAGCGGGAGGCGCGCTAATTTATATCCAGCCCGAGCTCTACAACGTCACAGCGAACGTGGGCGTGGTGTGTTCTCGTGGTCAGGCGTGCTCGTGCTCTTTTTCCACCTCGTGCTACGTGCCGTCAGAGCCGTTCTGTGTGTACCTTTTTAGCAGCCAATCAGCTGCGGGCAGAGCGCCCAAACCCCTCGCCGGCCAATCAGAAGCCGGTAACTTTCACCCATTTCCTTATTGTTTCCTCGCTCACTGATGTCCATATGAGAGCCAGATGGTGAGGCGCTCGTACTATTCCATTCAGCATCTAATCCACCTGCAGAGTCAGCGGCCTGTGGAAAACTACCATTGATGGTGTCAAATGGATGCATAAAAATAACACTAATATTTTACAGTATGGTCATGTGCTCGGGTGAAAGTCAAATTAGGAGGAATAATAATAATTAGAACGTCATTGAACCTAGTTAGGGGTGACAAATTAAAGGAAAAACGTGACACAGTCAGTACAACATATGATTTTCTTTAATTTGATGTTTTGACGATAGTTGTAGAAAGCGAGTACTGTTTCATTTACCTGATTTAAGATAATAAAACCATAATTATATTAATACTAAGCCATGGCAAAATGCCCACCCTCTGAAAACTGGAGTCTGGGGTTCTGCTCCCTATAAGTACTTCAGTTTTTCCTTTATTTTATCATACTTCAGTGAAATTTTAAGAACAAAATGCTGGGACCATAGTTTGTCTGCTACTAATGTTCATTAAATTAAAAGCAGCCACAGTAGATCATCTGACTCTTTGGCATGAGGAGCAATATGCTTCTTGTCTCTGACTAATTTTCAAACTGAGGTTGTTGATAATATATCATCCCAGTGAGCATCCATGTGTGAAGTGTGTCAGATGGTAAAAATGGCATGTATTTGTATAGCGCTGTAGTCAGGAGTGTGAGGGCAGTGTGAGCTCCATTGTGAGCCAGCGAGCAGCACCTACATTAAAAAAAAACTTAATTAGAACGAAGGAGAAGTCACAGGTTCAGCTGTGAACTGGAGCATGCCTGATGTTTACTTTCTGCCACAAATGTTCTTGCTAGGTTGTGTCATAAATGAGGCAAGAGACAAATGAGTGAATATTTCGAGAGAACACGTGGAGGTTCTAGTAGATGTGAATTACAGCCTTCATAAAGTGCTGTTTATGGCCTTGATCTGTTTCCCAGTATGTGTGTTTGTGTCCACGTGCACGTTGAGGCTCAACAGTCGACAGTGAACATCATAAAGTTGTGATGGGCGAGTCTTCTAGCTGTGTTGCAATTACAAGTCTTCCTATATCCAAGAAAATGAGGAAACCTTCACATGAGTGTCGGCAGTCTTCAGCAGCTACAGGCCATCCCTGCAAGTGGGAGGGTCACACTGTAAATCCAGTGTGAGCTGGTTTGTGTAACTTTAAACTAACAATTACGACAAAGGAAACAAAAGCTCACACCAAAGAGCACCCATGAACATAGTTATGGTACACTGTAGACTCCAGATAGCTAGGACAGTTTGTACTCTTAATATGCTACTGTGAAACTACTGTTTTATTAGCTCTGAATTTAAGGCCAAATCAATGTATTTTTTCCATATATTTTGACATATAATAGAGAATAAGGGCAGGAGATGAATTAATAACATTGGCAATGGTTTCAGTAGATACGAGGTAAGTTGGCTTTTCAGCATACAGCATCTTAGAATAAACATTTTTTTTAAATGTCTGTATCACTGCAGAGGCGAGGCCATAGATTAAGATATATTAGTATGGTCTGCTTTGATTCATCATGGTATTGATTCAACAGGGTGCAGGAAACATTCTTCAAAGAATTGGGTCCATATTTATTGATAGTAGCACACACATCCCAAATGTGCTCTACTGGACTGAGATGCAGTGACTTTAAAGGCCACATGATCACAGAGAACTCACTGTAATGTTCAAGGAACCAGTTTGAGCTTCGTGACACAGTGTGGTCATACAGGTCTGGACATGGGCAGGAACAACAGACAGGTAAGCTGTTTTATTTAAACACTGCTCAAACCTTTGGCTCCTTAGTGCTAAACTAAGGAGCCAAAAGCATGCCAAGAAAACGTACCCCACACCACCATCACCACCAGCATGAATCATTAAAACGAGGCAGCGTGAGAGGAGTGAACAGTAATGGCCTACACCGCCAGCTATCAGCCACCTATAATGACACCTCGGCACATCTGAATAGATTCTATGATTGCAGGGTGGGACAGTGTCTCACAAACTGTTCATACCTTGGCGGTAACGACCGTTAGCTTATTAAATGATTAACAGAGGGTCAAAGATTCTCAGAAGCACCTCGAAGGGGAGAATCCCACCACAGGTTAAATGATATCTGGAACTAACGTTTAGTTGTTTTGGAACTGAAAAGGTCTCTTAGATTGAGAGAGAGAGACAGAAAAAAGTCCACTTGCTCAAAAAATGACCTGGGTGACTGAGAAACCTACACAAACATCTTCTGTTGTCTAATTTTAGTAAGCCGTGGTGACCGTAGCCTCAGTTTCCTGTTCTTTGCTGACAGGACTGGCACACCATGTGCTCTTCTGCTGCTGTAACACATCTGCTTCGCATGCACTGAGGCGGTGCCACGTACGTCTCAGGGAGCAGGTATACCTAATGATGTGGCCAGTGAGTGTATATTGTACATGTAAACACACTGTCGTTGCATCACGTCACACACTACTGTTTTGGTGCTGAGAAAGAGTCGCCCTGTTACACGTTGTTCTGTGAAAAAGCCGCCACACACCCACCTCCATGTGACACCCAGGAAGTCAAGCCAATATTTGCAAACAGCTCAGAGAACATACAGTAGTTTAACACGCATGTTAAAGCCCAGGCAGTGCTCTAAGCAACAAACAGAGAACATATGATGAGGAACAATTTATTCAGTCATATTTACAGGCAGAAACAATCATGGAAGCTTCAGGAGAGTGAAACAGTTCATATGTGAGCAAACATTTTACAGCAGGTATGGTCGGTTTATGGGTTGAAACATTACAGATTTTGTGCTTTTATAGTCAGAATGAACAGTTTATGCACGAGTGTGACTCAAATAAAAAACATAACCAAAAAGTAAAATGCTACACTGTACATTCCTTCATTTTTCCAGATTTCCTCGAAGCATTTGGTTCGACAATAGGCACTCGGTTCAACCAACAAACGACCAGCGAGAGGCGCCCCCCTCGCAGAATGAAGACGGGACGCCGCCAGGTCGGGTTTGCCAGTGAAAAACACTCTTAAAGGATCACAAAAAGAAAAGTTCAAGCTTTTTGTCCAACTTTGCCACTCTGGAAAGGCAACAGAAGAGGAGTAAAGTAAGTCGGCACTTTCTAAACAGACTTTTCATTGGTCAGATTTTCTGTACCAAAAATGCATAAGAATGCCCACAACCTGCAAAAACACAAGTCATGCTAACAACAGCTCAAAATGCATAAATCTATCATAGTCTTAAACTACCCAAATTCAATAGTGCAAAACATGTGAGCAGTTTACAGACAATCAAGTCATGAAGTCCACACAAGTAATCCTATGCTTCAGTCTTCCTGCTACAATAATTTGAAAAAATGGAAGACACAAAGAACCAGAGTTAAACCGTCCAGAGGTGCTGACACTGCTGATCACTGAGGACGTTTCTGAATGACCAAAACATTTACTCATTAATCTAGAATTAAATTCAGACGTATTAATTGCGACCCCCTCCGAGAGAAAGCGTCACTGCTTCATGTGCAGTTTGTCAAACTTTGTCTGCTTTATGTCTTGACTTTCATCACATCTTTACAGAATCTATACAAATTTGTTGTAGATACTTTGCACACGTGTTAGTATTACATTTATGGGAACCTGTAATATGGAGTTTAGCCAAAATATTATCTAAATACAAAGCATTCAGTGTTGTATGAAGGCTGTTTATGTGACTATGTTACACAAAATAAACAATATATTGCTTGAACTTACCTAAATACATTTTACAATCCACAGGGACTCCTGTAGATTTTCCAGTATGGGTCACAAACTGCAGTAAGCGCTCACGTTCCTGCCTTTTCTTTTAAACACTCAGGATGACTGAGGCACATAATGACACCGGGTACAGAGCAGGTGGAGGCGATCAAAGGAAACTAAAGGACCCCCGCACCAGCAAACGTTAGCACATGTTGACATGTCAGAACAGCATATGAGAGCGCTTCAAAGGGCCTTATGATGCAGCAGCTATGAGGTAAAAAAATAAAATAAAGCATCTGCTACATTGGAAAAGCCTTGTTATCTACATCTGACGCACACGACATTCACATGAACCGGCACGAATATAAATGTGAGTTTGTTCCAGTGGTCTCGTACTGACCCAGATCTCAGTTAAAGGAGCTTCAAGATTCGCTCGTGTTTTTAAACTGTCACGATTTTCAGGTAATTTTGCCCTCATTAACTTCAAGCCTGTAATCTCTGACTCGAACAACGAGAAACAAGGAGGCTCATTATAATCCAGCACGAGCTCCCTAACAGCAGATTAAAGAATGAATGAATCGAGCAGCGGTTTCAGGTTTTAAATCAAATCTGGTAACAGAGTAGTGACTTCATTTAGTGTGGCCATAAAACCCCTCTGGGATAGAGGAGGGTGAGTTCCCAGTGGCATTATGGGACAGAGCATTTATTTTGTTTTGATCGGACAACGACGGCACAAATCGTCAGCGGGATGATGACACGAAGCTTGTGTAGACTTGCTGGACGTTCACGCTCCACTTCAGGTGAGCCCTGCACAAACAGAAAAGAGCACAAAGAACTATCATGTCTGCACAATAAAAACATGTAAGTGTTATTTTAGACAGTGCAGCTGTCTATGAGGGACAGAAAAGGCCCACACTGTGTTTGTCTAAGGAGTAAAAAGCCAATTATTTTGGAACGAAGGAAACAAAGACGGGACTTGTGCTTCTAAAATCTTTTACTATCACTCACTTTTTGTAGTTAAACTG